AATGTAAGATATATGTTTTTTCATAACTAAGAAAGCATAATAATATACAGACTATACAGTTTGCAGTTTTAATACGCACCAACAAAAGGCGTGTGTCCATAATCATATTTTACCAGAATTATATTGCACTATGTATTTGCTTCGATTAGCATAATCAATAACGAGCCGTTATTTGATTTTCACCAACGAGGAAAAAATCTAATTATATTTGTATAAAAGATTATTTTTATGTGTTTCTTTCGAAAATTATAGAATTATAATGTATGTAAATTAATTTTCGAAAGAGGAGAGTATGCGATTGTAAAAACCAGGATTCACAACACACATACATACATATATACTATCCTTCATTTCACTTGAAGGTAATCAAAAGTAATCGATTCTATTTTACACTAAATAGTTGAACTGTGTCGTGGTATTTAAAATCATCGCTCCCATTTTTATATAATATATTTAAAGTAACGAGAAGTGTATTTTTTGCGTGCAATCTTGTTTCAATGTTGCGGTGACAAATTGTAGGATTATCTTTATCGGAAATGACTACTTTTTTAACTGTACACTTCTATTCTCTTTTTTTTTTGTATGTATCTACATTACATATTATATTACATATCTACGTTACATGTAGAATGATTAAAATGATATCATTCAGTTGTAGTTATTATTCAATTGTAAATTGGATAATGCATAGCATGTTATACGTATTGCAAAGCAATACTTAACTCCAAAGATCGTAATATTGAAACAACAAATTGCCCTTGAAATCATGTGTAATAATACTAAAGAGATTTTTATAACATTATAGAGAAAAGTAGTTGAAATTAGTGGTAAATACTATTTAAAGCGTATCATAATGACTAGATAATAATTGTTGCGTTTTTTTTTTAATATCAGGGCAAAACTGCATTAATGATGTAATATATCGGTACTCATGTGTAAGATAAACATATTATATTTTCCCTCCGTTGTTTGTAACAAAGCACGTACTGAGCATAAATTAAGTTGGATGTCATTTGAAAAGCAAGAAAAAAATATGTATTACGACTTTAGATAATTATAGACATATGTGTATATGACTGCTGATGTATATCTCCCAATCTCTCCATCATATAATGTGTAAATAAGTTGTCACGTGTAGTTTTTAATTTTAAAAACCTCCATACATCTATTGCAATTATGCGAAATTAAAAGTAATTAATACAATTGTGCTATATACTATTACTGTATATATTTCAATTGTTCACATTATGGACATGAAACACAAAAGGAAAAAGATTAATTCGACAGTCTTCATATATCTTTAAAATTAAATCTCAAAATTCTGACAGAATATTAAGCTAAATTTTTTATTAACAGACATTAATTACAATTGTGGTTATTTATTTAACAATGCTGCTGGGAATGCAAATACATGTCTAATTCAATTTAACTGACAAATTATTCTTAATGTTTGCATCTGAGACAGCAGTTACGAATATATAAATACTAGAATTTATACAGTATATTTTTAGTCCATTACATTTCATACACTGATCGATAGGCCAATTCTGGCTTATCATATCCTAACTCCTCAGGCGTATTGATACCTAGCTCGTCCAAGGTGGGTCTGATTTCTTGAAGAATGTAAGGATAGATTTGAGCGGCATGTGGGCCACCTTTATCTTTTATAGACTCTAAGAACCTTACGGCGAGAGCAAAGTCATTTAATCTTCGGCAAGCTCTCAATGCTGCGCATATGATTTTTGGTTCTGGCACAAGATCCATACCTAAACAAAACAAAATGAATTTATTTTACAATTGACACATGGATATGCATTTATAATAAGTTAATATAAAATAGAGATAATCTTTGCGACTACCCGATTAAAAAAATACTTGCATGATAAAAGTAAATAACTTCTTTTTTCTGTTTTATAATAGAATATCATCAGTTTCCAATTTTTCAATGTAAATCGTTAAATTTTATCGTTTAAATGATAATTCAAGAGAAAATCAATTTTCTTTTGAATTAACGATTATAAATAAAACACTCATAGCAATATGAATCTCAGAAAGGTAAATATATGCATGGAAAAGTTGTTCCTTAAGTATAACTTCCAAGTAAATTTTAAGAAGTTTAAAGGACTTGAATATAAGCAATGACATAAGATAATCAATGATATGAAGATAATCGATGATATTAGACTGATATATAAATGATACAACTAACAATAAGTAGGAAAATATCTTATTTGATCTCTGGAGCTAGACATTAATACTTAATATTTCAGTATGAATTTATACACACATTCAATTCTGTATATAAATTCACTAAATACTAAAATATTATTAAGTATTAAGATCTAGCTCAGAGAGAGAGAGAGAGAGAGAGAGAGAGAGAGAGACCGAACAAGATATCTTCCTACTTACTTTTTAATATAAGTTTTATAATAGAAGTTTTTAATAAGACTTTAATATAGAAACTGTGACTAAAGAGATATTCAGTGGTATGTACCAGAACACTATGTTTAGGCAAACACAATAAAATAAAGTGTAACTGAAAAGAATAGCCGCGTTTTACTTCGCTACTTCTCGTATCCGACAGTAAAAGAACCACCATCAATATGAGGTGTCGTGCTTCAATAGTCCAAGATTTAGATCATTTGTCAATAGAGGCAATTAACGCGAGCTTACCGGCCAGATCATTCATGGCTTTTCGGATCTCCCAGTGATCGATATCATTGCGGTTGAAAAAATTCACATATCGTTGATCGAATTCCTCATCGGTCTCCTTGGGACCACCATGGGCAGTTCTGGTGCACTGCGTGCCGACGACAGAGATCTGCGGCATAATTGCGGTGCGCGCTGCTGAGGCCACGCGTGTCGCTACGACGCGCAACATTTTTCCTCGCTGAAAATCTCGCACGAAAAACGCTTATACGGGCAGACTGATTACCTGTCTGTTGCGTAAATCGGCCACGGCGGAAGTTGACCGTCCAAATTAGTCGAATTGCTTGCGGTTTGCGGCAAATTCAACCAGATGACGTGATCTGCCACTTCCGATGGCAGACTTCACAAGTGATAACGGCGCGTATCTTCAAATTTGGATTAATCAGATAAATATAATTTTAATCTTTTAATTAATTATTATTTTAATTAGTTTTCTTCCAATTGATTGAATTCTATTTTGTAAATTGCAGTTTTCAACTTTTAATACGTCTGTTTTTTTTTTTATTCGTGCGCTCTCTAAAGGCGTGTTCAGATTCCTACCTGGGTGCTCTTCAGGTATTATGTCATTCTTGTCTAATGTACGATAAAGCCCACATAAAAAAACGTCAGATCGTAACACGTAAACAATACACGCATTCTACATAAGCCATTAGCACAGTATATACAGGAGCGCTAGTACCAACTTTCTGTTGGTACTACCTTTGATATTAGCGTTGGTCAAAATGAAGTGCGCATGAGTGAAATAAGTAAGTTACCTAGTGTTGCCACCTAAACTCTCTTTTCATCCTTTTTTTACTCTGTCAAAATTCCTCGTAAAACTCACTAGATTTATTCGCATCGCAATCCAACGAATTCGTTGAAGTGAGTAAGTGCTATTGTAGGAACATATTTTAAACTTTATGAAAATTAATAAAAATAAATTATAAATATATTGAAAAATAAAGAAAAAATATAGAAAAATTGGGAAAAATATTAAATTAAAAATGTATATTTGTACAAAGAAATATTATGTAATTATATATCTATAAAAATGTTATGAGAAAGCTGATATAAAAGAAATTTATATACATATATATCCAAAAAATAAGTTTAAAATATAGTACAATAAATAAAAATAATCCTTTTTGCTCGATTTTCTGTTACTTTTTGTTCACTTTTTCACTTTTTCACAAAAATTAGACCAATCTCTCGAGATTTTTCACACAACATTTCACTAAATGAATAATACACGTAAGACGTTATCAGTAAGCGAATTGCCCAATCACAGTAGAAATCGAAAGACCAGCATCCAATCTTACGATTTCTTTACTAATTACGTCTTACGGCCTTACGTATTTCTATGTGCTCCCGGCTTTATTGTAGAAGGCTGATGAGATTGGATTCGCTACTGGCCTTACGTTTTTGTATGTACCATGGGCTTAACGCCATAGTATGTACATATAAAAATATACACACGGCGTAACACGGAGTAAAGCAGGGAGCACAGATTTTTGCATATTGATTAACACATGAGGCATAAGAAAATTAACCAATCAAAGTCCTTTATTTCCTTCCTTTCCGTAAAATAAAGGACAGGAATAAAGAATCTAATCTATCAGAAACCGTGTATTCCAGTGTATCCAATATATGATAGGTTGAAAGCCTTATTCCTTATTCCTAATTCTTTATTCCTTCTATTGTCGCTGCACCTTTATGGCTTATACTGTTTGTACTGTTTACATACAGGCATAGTCTGAAATTTAAATTTTCATATAGATGCACGTCAAACATGCTGGAATAGCACAGGAAGTTTTTAATGCGTCACTACCACTTATACCACCCGGCTCAAGGAACCGGATAATTTTTCCATCCTTTCGGTTGGATAGAGTAGAAATCTGAACGTTTCACCTAAGCGCCCAATAAAGAAATCTGAACGCTTTCTGGATGTACCCGGGGAATCTGAACGCAGCCCTTACTCTGTCAAGTTGTGCTGTTTCCGGCCAGTATCCGACACCCGACAATGGTGTCCTTTCATTCTTGAATCTTATGTCTTTCTTTTACTGAAGGAACTTTTAACGATACTTCTCGCAGTTTGCATGGTAGGACATACCAATTTTACATGAAGAATGCTCCATTTTTCATGTAAAATTGGTATGTCCTCCGTTCTTCAGTTTTAATGACAATTTACGTTTTCCTGTTACTATTAGATCACGATGTCAGAGAATAACGTCTTTATTTTTAGGTTATGTGTATTTGATTGTGTTGCGTAAGCGTATATGAGAGGAGTTTCGCGATTCGAACGCTGCCTACTGAGCACCACTAATACTAATTCAGAATCCTGATTTTGACCACACTTTTCAAAGCCTGGTTCGGCTTCCTATTCTTTATACTCCATGATCAGAACATAACCTCTCATAATTTTACAGTCAAGAAGCTATGCAGATGCCCAGAAGTCTGGAAATTCAAACTTTTATGCAATAATCTTCTGCGCAGATGCCCGATATTCGACGCTTGCATGTAATTTCATCTTTATTTATTTAATTGTTACGATGCCGTCGTGTGCAGTACGAAATTGTAAAAATAATTCGTGGAATACGAAAGGACAAAAAATCAGTTATTTATCATTTCCGAAGGAAACGGAAATGATTGAAAGATGGAAAATTGTATGCAAAGAAGATGTTAACTCTAAATTTGGTACGTATATTCGTCAGTATGATTTATTTGTAGTTAACACACAATATTGTAATTAATAAAATGTAATTGAAATTGACTTATTAAAATATAAATTAATAATAATATGGCTCAATACGAATAAAATCAACAACAATAATAAATTAGAAGGGCTACAAGCCAGATAAATCGTTTAATATTTAAAAAGTAAAAATAATTATTGTAAACATAAACATTATGAACAAACCAGACGTTTAATTGTGAGGCTAAGAACCTCCTTAGGTTCGAAGAGGTGTAGATAGATAGATCTGCCCCTTTTAATTTATTCTTGTTGATTTGTTTTATTAAATTGATTTATTAAAAGTATTATTGATTTAAAAAAAAAATCTCAGCAAGCATTCTTAAGACGAAGGGTTTTGTAAACAATAGTTTTGAATTAGCTAATAAATTTTCAGATGTGGGTGAGAATGATGTGCTTATTTCATTTGATGTTACATCTTTTTTTACTAACATTCCTTTGGATCTGACTATGGTTGGTATTGAAAAAAAGTGGGAGCTCATTAAGTGTTCCACTAGATTACTAAAAGAATTTCTATTTGCAATTAAATTTGTTCTTTTATCTACCTATTTTACTTTTAATAAATTTATAAACAGATCTTTGGGACTCCCCTTTGTCATTAATCATAGTCGATATAGATTGTCATGCAAGATTTAGAGAAAAATGTCTTGAGCACAGTAGATCTATTATTATATTTCAGATATGTCGATGATATCTTATTAATAGCTCACAGCTGATAGATAAAGACTGAAAGAAAAATATCGGTTTTTTTTTCAAAGGGGAAGTGTTTCACTTCTTAAACATAAGTTAGCGCACGTATAAAAAAATAAAAAATACGTGTCTCTTAGTTTTTTGTGTTTTACAACATTTCATGGAGAATCAAATCGGTTCCGGACAGTTGTGAAACTTCCCTTATCAGTCATATTTGAGCTATTACTACTCTTACAGATACGATTATCAAATATACGATTATCGATAATTTATGATTATACGATTACGATTTTTGATTTACGATTTTTTTGATTTTCGATATACGATTTTCACTTATATATTATCATATATTTTCAATTATATATAAGATTTTCAATTATATAATATATTTCAATTTACGATAATTTACGATTATCAAATATTTAATTTATTATTGATTATTATTATTGCTGGTTTATTTTTATTAACTACACTATGTTACGTAAGTTCAATCAATATTTTATTTCTTATAATAGTTTTTTGATAACACTTCCATAATTGATGAATTAATTTGATTCAGAACAATTTTATATCTTGACTCATATTATACACAAAGGACTAATACGATTCTCGCTATCAAACCAAGATTTAGGTTGAATGACTTTGATTCTGAACTATTATACTCGTATATTCTTCTGAACATGGTGTGACAATATAACTATTTTGATTGTAATAATCTTGAAAAGGACGAATAATATTTTTATAATGTTACCTCATTTTAACATATTAGGCTGTAGACGTTAATATTTAATTTAATTTAATTGTATTTATACCGTAGTGATGAAGACTCTGTGAGTTGAAACTGTTGAATTATTTTAGTGATTTACACAGGTTTTACTGTAGAGATCAGAATGTATATTTTATTAACCATAACAAGGTGATCGTACACATACGACAAAATCTAAATCAAACGAACATTAAGCATCGAAAACCTTGAAAACAATCGCAAATACATAGAACAGAAGAATATAGATTAATCGATGATCGAAAGACTGCTTTTCAGTAGTTTCAGTCTGCATTATAAATAATGTAGATTTAAAATTAACATCAATTTGTAAAATTACTTCTTAATAGAAACGTTTGCGGAATTATTTTTATGTATTGACTATAATTAAATTATTTCTATTCTAACATCTCTTTTGCTTGTTATTGGTCGTTATCAAACTTTTTATATTGCTTTGCAAATCATCAAGTTATCATATTTGTTTATTATTAATTTATGTAGCTCGTATCTGTTCAAAACATTTTCATCCTTCACAATTTGAAGATAAATCGTGGTTACGAGATTTCGTTGGAAAATCTGGTAACGTACGAGTAAAACTTCGACGTGATGCGGTTCCATTGTTAGCTGTAGAGGACAACAAAATTCCCATGGATAACGATTTAGGTATACATATAGTTCATTTTTAACCAATTTGAAGTAATTATTATAACATAAAGAATTTCAAACGATAATTTTTATAATATATTTTCAGAAGTAGATGTTGTACAGCCCGTTGGCTGTTGCTCGTTTAATCCAGGTATAGATTGTGCTACATCGACCTTCACATTGAGCTGTATAACTCAAGCTGCGCTGAACACTTCAGTGGTTCTTGACATTGGTATATTTTGTAATTGTATTTCACTTGTTTCTTAATTATTTTTTATTTACATAAATATACATATTTATTTACATAATATTTATTTACACAATAATTATTTTTTATGTATAATAATATATTTCTCCTTCTCTTTTATGCTGAGGCAGATATCTCTCAGGAAATGCAGAAATTACAACACAGAAATGCAACCTTACTTCCAGAAACGAAAGCTTTACATCTGGAAACGGAAACAATCCATAAACGTCAACAAGCTTTAAAAGATAAACTGTACAAGAAGCAATTAATGCAGAAAATACAGGACAAGTTAACTTTGTTTTTTACGCCAGAACAAATAAAATTATTTTTAAATCCGACGCAGAAGATCCGTTGGACTAAGGAGAATATTGAGGCTGCAATTTCATTAAAAAGCGTAAACTTAAAAGCTTATAGATATCTGAGGAAAATAAAACAATTTCCTGCAACCCTTCGAAAATGGATAGCGGATTTCAACATTGACAAAGGCATCTTAACAGAGGTATCAGCAGTGACGAAAGAAAACAATCAAAGTATGACAGACATAGAAAGAGCTTTGATTCTCTACTCTGATCTTCTCTGTTCCTTCTTCTGATGAAATTTATTTGTCAAACCAAGTTCAAATTGAAGAAAATAAGGAGAAAGTGTATGTGTATGTTGTATTGAAAAATTTAAAAAAGTATATGAATAAGAACGCTGTTCTACAAATTCTATATAAGAATAATTACAAGAAAAATTCTTGTGAAATCTAAGAAAATTTTTACATACGAATTTCGGACAGAAATATACAAGATTGTATAAGAATATATCGCATACGATATCCATGATACTATAAATCCAGAATCTTGCATGAATCTTACACTAATGTTCTTACACACATGAATTATAAACATGTTACATGATTCGGAAAAACGGAAAGCGGAAAAGCAGAAGCCAATCAGAACTCGCGGAAAGACAGAAGCAGACAAGCAGTCTACTACTACTGCGAGTTCCGATTGACTTCCGCTTTTCCATCAAGGTGTGAACGCACGTTACTTGAATCTTGCGCGCAGGTTATGCAAATTTTGCGCGCATGTAACGTGAATCTTGCAAGAATATAATTAGAGTGTCATTATGAAAATATTACAAGAATACTATTGAAATTTTGTGTGATTTATTGCTCGTAAAATGGAATGGATCAAGCAAGGAGTTGAATGGGATTTAAAAAAATTTATTTTGGCTATAAATTCTTTTTACACAAATTGAATAATGGCTTCTCGATTAAATCAAACTTTTTGAGAAAAGATCATAAAAAGCCTATGTTAGTTATATAGCGAAATTGTAATTTACTGAGACAGTGAGTAATATGTTTCGATCTTTTATTCAGTCATTTTATTTGTTAGTATTCTAACAAATTTTTTAATTAAAAAAAATTTTTTTTATTTTATATATTTAATCCAATTTATTTTTTTTTTTTTTTTTCAATAATTTTCTGAGATGATCGATATCTTTATTACTTTGGAGCGATGTAAAAAAATTATTTCTTAAGAATATTTTATTAGGCTAAATTGGCAATTAAAATCTTTTTATTGCGATGTAAATCGTTGTATACGATTCATGCCAGATTTTTGCACCAACTTGAAAGATAAATTATTTCGTAACTATGTCTCTTAAGACTGATAAATGATCTTTTACTTCAGAATCATATGTAATTAATACCATATTCTTAGATGATCCTGTAAAGAGACTATTTTTTAAAAGTTTTTTATAAAGCTAAGGCAAGATTTTTTCATTGCGATATAGATATACGATTCATTCCAGATTCCTAAAAGGTCCATTAAAGATTAGTGAGATTCATGAACAAATTATATAAGTTTCTTATACTATCATATACATTCATTTAGTAATCCTAATTGATCACATACAACTCTTTTA